TCAAGTGGTCTCCCACTGTCACAGTCACCATTAAGTGGTCTCCCACTGTCACAGTCACCATCAAGTGGCTTCCCACTGCCAGTCACCATCAAGTGGTCTCCCACTGTCACAGTCACCATCAAGTGGTCTCCCACTGCCAGTCACCATCAAGTGGTCTCCCACTGCCACTGACCCGCACTTGTTGTCGCCCTGTGCCAGTCACCATCAAGTGGCCTCCCACTGCCAGTCACCATCAAGTGGTCTCCCACTGCCAGTCACCATCAATTGGTCTCCCACTGCCACAGTCACCATCAAGTGGTCTCCCACTGCCACAGTCACCATCAAGTGGCCTCCCACTGTCACAGTCACCATCAAGTGGTCTCCCACTGTCACAGTCACCATCAAGTGGTCTCCCACTGTCACAGTCACCATCAAGTGGCCTCCCACTGTCACAGTCACCATCAAGTGGTCTCCCACTGCCACAGTCACCATCAAGTGGTCTCCCACTGCCACAGTCACCATCAAGTGGTCTCCCACTGTCACAGTCACCATCAAGTGGTCTCCCACTGCCACAGTCACCATCAAGTGGTCTCCCACTGCCACAGTCACCATCAAGTGGTCTCCCACTGCCAGTCACCATCAAGTGGTCTCCCACTGCCAGTCACCATCAAGTGGTCTCCCACTGTCACAGTCACCATCAAGTGGTCTCCCACTGCCAGTCACCATCAAGTGGTCTCCCACTGCCACAGTCACCATCAAGTGGTCTCCCACTGCCAGTCACCATCAAGTGGTCTCCCACTGCCACAGTCACCATCAAGTGGTCTCCCACTGTCACAGTCACCATCAAGTGGTCTCCTACTGCCACAGTCACCATCAAGTGGTCTCCCACTGCCACAGTCACTATCAAGTGGCCTCCCACTGCCAGTCACCATCAAGAGGCCTCCCACTGCCAGTCACCATCAAGTGGTCTCCCACTACCACAGTCACCATCAAGTGGCCTCCCACTACCACAGTCACCATCAAGTGGTCTCCCACTGCCACAGTCACCATCAAGTGGTCTCCCACTGCCACAGTCACCATCAAGTGGTCTCCCACTGCCACAGTCACCATCAAGTGGTCTCCCACTGCCAGTCATCATTAAGTGGCCTCCCACTGCCACAGTCACCATCAAGTGGTCTCCCACTACCACAGTCACCATCAAGTGGTCTCCCACTGCCACAGTCACCATCAAGTGGCCTCCCACTACCACAGTCACCATCAAGTGGTCTCCCACTGCCACAGTCACCATCAAGTGGTCTCCCCCTGCCACAGTCACCATCAAGTGGTCTCCCACTGCCACAGTCACCATCAAGTGGTCTCCCACGGCCAGTCACCATCAAGTGGTCTCCCACTGCCACAGTCACCATCAAGTGGTCTCCCACTGCCACAGTCAACATCAAGTGGTCTCCCACTACCACAGTCACCATCAAGTGGTCTCCCACTGCCACAGTCACCATCAAGTGGTCTCCCACTGCCACAGTCACCATCAAGTGGTCTCCCACTGCCACAGTCACCATCAAGTGGTCTCCCACTGCCAGTCACCATCAAGTGGTCTCCCACTGCCACAGTCACCATCAAGTGGTCTCCCACTGCCAGTCACCATCAAGTGGTCTCCCACTACCACAGTCACCATCAAGTGGTCTCCCACTGCCACAGTCACCATCAAGTGGTCTCCCACTACCACAGTCACCATCAAGTGGCCTCCCACTGCCAGTCACCATCAAGTGGTCTCCCACTGCCACAGTCACCATCAAGTGGTCTCCCACTGCCACAGTCACCATCAAGTGGTCTCCCACTGCCACAGTCACCATCAAGTGGTCTCCCACTGCCACAGTCACCATCAAGTGGTCTCCCACTGCCACAGTCACCATCAAGTGGTCTCCCACTGCCACAGTCACCATCAAGTGGTCTCCCACTGCCACAGTCACCATCAAGTGGTCTCCCACTACCACAGTCACCATCAAGTGGTCTCCCACTGCCACAGTCACCATCAAGTGGTCTCCCACTACCACAGTCACCATCAAGTGGTCTCCCACTGCCACAGTCACCATCAAGTGGTCTCCCACTGCCACAGTCACCATCAAGTGGTCTCCCACTGCCACAGTCACCATCAAGTGGTCTCCCACTGCCACAGTCACCATCAAGTGGTCTCCCACTGTCAGTCACCATCAAGTGGTCTCCCACTGCCACAGTCACCATCAGACAGGTATGAGGTTATCGATCGGGTCCAGCTTGGCGGGGGAGTCAACAACGGTCAAATCAGCCAACGGACTCGTATGAATAGAGCCGCCAGTAACGAGGCCACGGTTGTTCCTCTGACCAGTCGTGAGTCTCTCTCTTAGACTCAGGTGCAAATTGTTACTCACAGTGAGTCTTTATGGCCACACACACAGCTCTCTATGGCCTCGGAACATGTAACAATTTTACTTGAATAATTTTTGTACATTTTGTGGCACAAATTGTTGCCGTGTGTGAAAGCCTCTGCAGGTAATTATTTACCACTGGCAGAGTACATTACCACCACTGGCAGAGTACATTACCACCTTACTATATTTTTTATTTCGCGTCAATAAATTTTCCTTTATTTGTTCTCCATTATGTGACCCAGACGTAAGTATGAATAGTTGACTAAATTTGGTAGATATTTCAGTGATATGGAGACTGTAGTTGGCATATATTCACTCACACATGCACAGAAAAACACATGCACAAAAATGGGCATAGTTTCTTTCACCCGAATGCTTCTGTTCATCTAGTAGTAAATAGATACCTGGGAGATAGACAGCTGCTACGGGCTGCTTCCTGGGGTGAGTGTGTGTGCGGAAAAAATCAGTTGATTGACAGTTGAGGGGCGGGCCCAAAGAGCCAGAGCTCAACCCCCGCAGGCACAACTAGGTGAGTACAGAGTGTGTGTTAGATTGGCCGACATAAGAACTGTTTTTAGAAACTTGAGTAAGGAATCGTTCAGGACCTTAAATACAACTTATGTCAGACCAATCCTGGAGTATGCAGCTCCAGCCTGGAGTCCATACCTAGTTAAACACAAGACAAAGTAAGAGAAGATTCAGAGGTATACCAGTAGACTAGTCCCAGAAATGAGAGGTATGAGCTACGAGGAAAGGCTACGCGAGCTAAACCTCACGTCCCTGGAAGATAGAAGAGTAAGGGGAGACATGATCACCACCTACAAAATTCTCAGTGAAATTGACAGGGTAGACAATGACAAATTATTCAGCATGGATGGAACACGAACAAGGGGACACAGGTGGAGATTATGTACCCACATGAGCCACAGGGACGTTAGAAAGAACTTTTTCAGAGTCAGAGTAGTTAACAGGTGGAATGCACTAGGCAGTGATGTGGTGGAGGCTGACTCCATACACAGTTTCATGTATAGATATGATAGAGCCCAATAGGCTCAGGAACTTGTACACCAGTTGATTGACGGTTGAGAGGTGGGACCAAAGAGCCAGAGCTCAACCCCCGCAAGCACAACTAGGAGCGTACACACACATACATATATACATATATGAGTACGACGTAAGGGAGGGAAGAATAGGGCATTAATAGGGGACGTAAATGGGGACGTATTTTTTCAAACTCTCTACTCGCGTTGCTCCATTCCTAGGAGTAGGTAAGGCTTGACGAATATAAGCATAGAGAACACTGGCTTTGTATCTTTGGGGGCACTCACTCCTACCGTTCAGGCATAATCCTATGTTGGTGGGCTTGGTATATACGTTGGTGCTTAAAGAGGTTCCTGTTTTTGTTATTAGTACATCCAGGAATGGCAGACTGTTATTTTCACTATTTTCTTGTGTAAATCGGAATACTGACTCTCTCTCTAGATGGCTTTTTAGTTTAATTAATTTGTGTGAGTCTTTTACTATGACGAATATGTCATCTCCATAACGGCTGTATACAATTGTTTATTGCCTATTACTAAAGACTGTGTCTTCGATGGTTCCCATATAAAAATTAGCAAAAAACACTCCTAAGGGGGAGCCCATTGCTACTCCGTCTATTTGTAGATACATGTCTCCTTGTGGACTGATGAAAGGGGCTTCCTTTGTATATGCCTCGAGAAGTCTCTTCAAGTGTGGCTCAGGTATGTCTAATTTAGGGGTGCTCTCGTCTCTGTATACTCTGTCTAGTATCATGTCTCTGGTGTCGACTGGGACGTTGGTAAATAGGGATTCAACGTCCAGGGAGGCAATAATTCCCTCGTGCTGTGTAGTGTTAACATACTGTGTAGTGTTAACATACTGTGTAGTGTTAACATACTGTGTAGTGTTAACATACTGTGTAGTGTTAACATACTGTGTAGTGTTAACATACTGTGTAGTGTTAACATACTGTGTAGTGTTAACATACTGTGTAGTGTTAACATACTGTGTAGTGTTAACATACTGTGTAGTGTTAACATACTGTGTAGTGTTAACATACTGTGTAGTGACAGCAAATTGCTTGTGTTCTTAGTAAGAACTTCGGGCATGATTACTCCTAAATCTTTTACATTACTTGTTCTTCCAATAGTGTGATCTGTCTGTGTTGTATATGTGGTTCTGCTCTGATGTTTTCGTCTCTTCCATAGTGTAGTAATGGGAACTTGTCTTCGTTAAAAATTATGATTGTTTCTATGGCCCATTGAGAGATGTTATTAGCATCAGGTTGGAGGTTCGCCGTGTCCTCTATGTTGTCTACTCTCAGGAAGATCCTAGTGTCATCTGCAAAGGATGATACAGTGCTATAGTTTGTATCCCTGTCTATATCTGATATAAGGATGAGAACATTAACAATACCTTGAGGAACTGAGCTCTTCACGGTGGATGATGAGGATACTGTGTTGACTATTACACTCTGGGTTCTGTGCGTTAGGAAGTAAGTGATCCATCTCCTTACTTTGCCAGTAACTCCTGTGTGCACATTTTGTGTGCACATGGTCACATTTGTCAAAGACTTTTGCGAAATCTGTGTGTATGTTACATGAGCTTTTGTTTGTCATCGTCGGCATCTATGGACATGTCAAAGTGGTGTAGGAAGTGTGAGAGACAGGAGAACACTGCTCTGAACCCATGTTGCTCGGGGTTATAGAGGCACTGTGAGTCCATGTGTTTTGTGAGCTTCTTAGTCTTTAAAAGGTTTATATGATGTGCGATGTTAGAGCAATTGCTGTATCATTTTTTGTATCAACTTTACTACCTCCTTTGTGGAGTGCCGCGATCTCTGCTGTTTTAAGTATGTAGGGAATTACATCAGTATCTAGGCTCCGTCTCCAAAGATGTTTAAGGCCCGGATAATGGTGTTTTGCACTTGACAATGATTATAGAATTCCAGGGGCCAGATTCACGAAGCACTTACGCAAGCACTTACGAACCTGGGGCAAGATTCACGAAGCAGTTACCCAAGTACTTATGAACGTGTCCATCTTTACTTAATCTTTGACGACTTTGGTTACATTTATTAAACAGTTTACAAGCATGAAAACTTGCCAATCAACTGTTGTTATTGTTATAAACAGCCTCCTGGTGCTTCGGAGCTCATTAACTGTTTAATAATTGTAAACAAAGCCGCCAAAGATTGACAAAAGATGTACAGGTTAGTAAGTGCTTGCGTAACAGCTTCGTGAATCTGGCCCCCTGGAGTCTGGGTCTGGTGCAGAGTGCATAAGCATGCTGTCTATGGCTACGTCCAAGTCCAGTGGGGTTATGGTGACGCATGGCTCGGTGTGTCACCATAACTGTGGTGCGTCTGACGCATGGCTCGGTGTGTCACCATAAGTATGGTGCATCTGACGCATGGCTCGGTGTGTCACCATAACTGGTGCGTCTGACGCATGGCTCGGTGTGTCACCATAACTGTGGTGCGTCTGACGCATGGCTCGGTGTGTCACCATAAGTATGGTGCATCTGACGCATGGCTCGGTGTGTCACCATAACTGGTGCGTCTGACGCATGGCTCGGTGTGTCACCATAACTGTGGTGCGTCTGACGCATGGCTCGGTGTGTCACCATAACTGTGGTGCGTCTGACGCATGGCTCGGTGTGTCACCATAAGTATGGTGCGTCTGACGCATGGCTCGGTGTGTCACCATAAGTATGGTGCGTCTGACGCATGGCTCGGTGTGTCACCATAACTGTGGTGCGTCTGACGCATGGCTCGGTGTGTCACCATAAGTATGGTGCGTCTGACGCATGGCTCGGTGTGTCACCATAACTGTGGTGCGTCTGACGCATGGCTCGGTGTGTCACCATAACTGTGGTGCGTCTGACGCATGGCTCGGTGTGTCACCATAAGTATGGTGCGTCTGACGCATGGCTCGGTGTGTCACCATAAGTATGGTGCATCTGACGCATGGCTCGGTGTGTCACCATAACTGGTGCGTCTGACGCATGGCTCGGTGTGTCACCATAACTGTGGTGCGTCTGACGCATGGCTCGGTGTGTCACCATAACTGTGGTGCGTCTGACGCATGGCTCGGTGTGTCACCATAATTGTGGTGCGTCTGATGCATGGCTCGGTGTGTCACCATAAGTATGGTGCGTCTGACGCATGGCTCGGTGGTGGTGGTGTCATATTCATATATATATCGCTTGATCAATGATCGCCAATGCGTTCAGGTGTTCACTGAGAACAGAATCGTGCTGTAATCTCAGTATTTCATTCATTTCTTTGCTGTCATCTGTGAAGGTTCCATCACTCTTGTCCTCGGGTCCAGTGAAGGAGGCAATTTTGCATAGAAGGAAAACGTATTTTAGATTCCTTTCTATTTCCCTTAAGGCCTTTAGCTCTCTCTGTGTCTCCAGTGTTGTATATGAGTCTTGCAACTTAGCTCAGTCGTTCCTACTTCTCTACAAGGTCTTCTTTGTCCTTCTTGCCAGAATGTTGACCACTTAAGATGTTGGGACATTTGTTTTCGTCGCCTAGAGTGGGGGACGCCTTGCTCCATCTATTTTCTCATTCGTATTTGCATCTTATTCCATTTCTTCTTAATTCTGTGACTTGGATATGTTTCTAGTACTCACCTAGTTGTGCTTGTGGGGGTTGAGCTCTGGCTCTTTGGGCCCGCCTCTGTCAACTGATCAACTGATTTTTTTTTCCACACATACACACACACATCTCCAGGAAGCAGCTCGTAACAGCTGTCAAACTCCAAGGTACCTATTTACTGCTAGGTGAACAGGAGGGCATCACGATGAAAGAAACTGTGCCCATTTGTTTCTGCCTCCGCCGGGGATCGATCCCCGGTCCCCTGGATTACGAATACCGAGCGCTGTCCACTCAGCCGTCAGGCCCCCTTGAGGAGGTCCCCCTTGAGAAGGTCCCACTTTGAGGAGGTCCCCCTTGAGGAGGTCCCCCTTGAGGAGGTCCCACTTCAGGAGGTCCCCCTTGAGGAGGTCCCGCTTGAGGAGGTCCCCCTTGAGAAGGTCCCACTTTGAGGAGGTCCCCCTTGAGGAGGTCCCCCTTGAGGAGGTCCCACTTGAGGAGGTCCCCCTTGAGGAGGTCCCCCTTGAGGAGGTCCCCCTTGAGAAGGTCCCACTTTGAGGAGGTCCCCCTTGAGGAGGTCCCACTTGAGGAGGTCCCACTTGAGGAGGTCCCCCTTGAGAAGGTCCCACTTGAGGAGGTCCCACTTGAGGAGGTCCCCCTTGAGAAGGTCCAACTTGAGGAGGTCCCACTTGAGGAGGTCCCCCTTGAGAAGGTCCCACTTTGAGGAGGTCCCACTTGAGGTCCCCCTTGAGTAGGTCCCCCTTGAGGAGGTCCTCCTTGAGGAGGTCCCCCTTCAGGAGGTCCCACTTGAGGTCCCACTTGAGGAGGTCCCCCTTGAGAAGGTCCCACTTTGAGGAGGTCCCACTTGAGGTCCCACTTGAGGAGATCCCCCTTGAGAAGGTCCCACTTTGAGAAGGTCCCACTTGAGGTCCCCCTTGAGGAGGTCCCCCTTGAGGAGGTCCCCCTTGAGAAGGTCCCACTTTGAGGAGGTCCCACTTGAGGTCCCCCTTGAGGAGGTCCCCTTTGAGGAGGTCCCCCTTGAGAAGGTCCTCCTTGAGGAGGTCCCCCTTGACGAGGTCCCCCTTGAGAAGGTCCTCCTTGAGGAGGTCCCCCTTGAGAAGGTCCTCCTTGAGGAGGTCCCCCTTGAGGAGGTCCTCCTTGAGGAGGTTCCCCTTGAGTAGTAACGCAGGAGACAGAGAGGAGAGAAACACAGTAACGCAGGAGACAGAAGTAGAGCAGACACCAGCAGACACCAGCAGACAGCAGCAGCAGCAGCAGCAGGAGGAGCAGTGTGAACCAGACTACTAGGAAGAGTGTAAGTTGGTCGCAAGGCGAACTTTATGTCAAGAGGACGAAGGGTATTAGTGAGATTTTTGAGTTTAGACATGAAGGAGCGGCAGAGCACAGTGCTGCTAGTGTTGGAAACAGGTTTGGGATGAAAAATAATTACGTTTAGCTTGAGAATTGGCACAGTTGATAAAATGTAAGGAGTAACTAAGGTGAGAGAATGATTTGTAGATAAAAGAATATTCAGAATCAAGAAACTGAATCGTACAGAGTCATGCCACTATGCATGGGTTTGTGGTAGACTGACAAAGAGAACCCGGACACAGAGCTGTGAACATGAACGTCAAGAAAAGGAAGGAGGGAATTAGAATCGCATTCAACTTTGAAGTGGATTGAAGGAGCCAGATTGTTAAGAGAGGAGAGGAGAGGCTGGAAAAGACTAAGGTCATGAGGCCATAGAACAAAAATGTCATCAACATAGCGAAGCCAGAGAGAGGGACGAGTATCAATAGAAGGAAGAAGAACAGTTCCGAAGTATTCCATGTAGAAATTAGCAAGAACAGGGGAGAGAGGGGAACCCATAATGATACAGAAAGTTTGAGAGAAGTATTTACAGTTGAAAGAGTTAGAGTCAGCACAGTCTGATGAGTTCGAGGAAAACGTCAGTGAGAAGCAGGAGAGGAAGAAGGCCCTCAGTAGCCATTTGACTAAGGAAAGAGAGAACGTCATCAAGAGGAACATTAGTAAACAGAGTTGACATCAAGACTAAGCACCTTTGAGGAAGCTCCAGCAAGAACTTCTTGAAATGTTGTTTCTCCCCCCCCCCCTCCCCATCCTGGCCCTCACTGTGGCACTGACCTCATTAGCTCCTTTGCTAAGTTTGTCAATTCTAACTCTAGTACTCCTTCGAACCTGTCTGCCTTCTGTGGGGGCCTTTATCCCCCCCCCCCCCCGTTCTTGACAGCTTGTTTTCTAAAAATCACCACCTTCCTTGACGCTTCCAGCTTGCCCTTGCCTCCCTGAAATCTAACAACTCTATTCTTATCCTTCCTTCCGACAAAGGCAATTCGGTGGTTGTCCTTGACCGTGAGGACTACCTCAGAAAGTTGATGTCTTGCTCTCTGGCTCTCGCACTTATGCTCCACTGTAAACCATAAGCTAAGACAGCGCTTTAGTCTCTGTCCTCCTGACTTTAATCTCGTAAAACGTTTCCGTGTCATCTGCCCTTCTCTTCCTTATTGCTAGGTCTAAGACTGAAGTACCTGGTGTTGCTCTTCGTCCTGTTAATTCTTCAAGGGGCTCTGTGAGCTATCCTCTTGTCTTCTGTCTGGGCAAAACTCTTGCCCACCTTCGTCACTCTCAGGACGTCTTAAAAGACTGCGCCTGCAGCCCTGCTGTAAGGTGCTTCGTCTTGATGTCGACTCTCTGTTTACTAATGTTCCCCTCGATGACTGTCTCTCTTTCCCCTTCTTCCTCTCCCGCTTCCCAATGACCTTTTCCTCGAACTGTGTCAACACAACTGTCAGACTGTGTTGACTCTAACTCCTTTTCTTTCAACGGTAAATACTTCTCTCAAACGTTGGTGTCGCTATTGGTTCTCCTCTCTCTCCTGTTCTTGCCAATCTCTAGTTGAATTTGAATCTGATTCCCTCGTTCCTTTCCTTGACGTTCACGTTCACAGCTCTGTGTCCGGGTTCTCTTTCTCTGTCTACCGTAAACCCATGCATAGTGGCATGTACATTCACTTCTTTTCCTACCATCCTCCTTCTGTTAAGAAAAGTGTCCTCGTCTCTCTCGTCCTCCGCTCTACGCATCAGTGACTCTCAGTTTCTTGATTCTGAAAATTCTTACATTTAAGTCTTTCTCTCGCCTTGGTTACCTCCTTACATGTTGTCAAGTGTGCTTATTGTTATTTAGGATGAAAGAAAGTAAATTTCTTTCATCCTAAACCTGTTTCCAACACTAGTAGCACCGTGCTCTGCCGCTCCTTCCTATCTGAACTAAAAAAATCTCACTAATACCCTTCGTCCTCTTGAATGGCGAGCAAAGGTCGCTCGCCATGCGACAAAGTAACTCACTTCGTAGTAATCTGCACCACTATTCACGAAGCTTCAAGTGTTACTTCTTACGTCTCTGTGTTACAGAGGTTCTCAAGTACTCGGTGAGAAGACCCGTAAGCACGGTTCAAGAAGGTGTTTGTTAGCAGTTATTAGTAATTTTGATGCAGTTCACTTCATTCTCGACAGATGTCACTAGTGCTTCTCGTTTGTCCAATCAGAGAGAAAGTAACATTGTTCATGTTATTGCTTAGCCAATCACTTTGCTGGCTAGATGGAGAAGTGACCAATCGCACATGTTTGTCCGGAGATTGGCAACTATAGTGGTCTCAACTGAAGTGTCTGAACACCACTGATGCATAACCATAACTTTGTTCACATATAACCTATATTCCTTGAAATGTTGTCCCAATAACGTCTATATTTATGCCACTCACATGGTGTATAAAACGTTAGGTATTATGAACGAATATGTAATCAACATTGATATGCATTACTGCGCTGTTGCATCGACCCGGCGTCACCCGGGGACTATTTACATCATATTCCCTCATAAAAGGAGTTTATTTCGAAGTAGAATGATGTGTTGTCAAGTTCTACAGTCAGCACCCACATTGTACTCAACGATTATGTTACTCATTTTCTCTACCTATATAATTCTGAGAGAGAGAGAGAGAATTCTTGCTTGCTTCGTTGATCAACGGACACCAAGAACTCCACATTAATACGTGTGTATCTTGGATACATACACACGTATTAATGTTATTAATACGTGTGTTATTAATATGTGTGTGTATGTTGGCACTCTGATGAGTTATGTTCCCTGAGATGGATTCATACTAACTGTTATACTGTGTGGTCCTGGTGGTATATATACTGTGTGGTCCTGGGGGTATATATACTGTGTGGTCCTGGGGGTATATATAGTGTGTGGTCCTGGTGGTATATATACTGTGTGGTCCTGGGGGAATATATACTGTGTGGTCCTGGGGGTATATATACTGTGTGGTCCTGGTGGTATATATACTGTGTGGTCCTGGGGGAATATATACTGTGTGGTCCTGGGGGTATATATACTGTGTGGTCCTGGTGGTATATATACTGTGTGGTCCTGGGGGTATACATAGACTGTTATACTGTGTGGTCCTGGTGGTATATATACTGTGTGGTCCTGGGGGTATATATACTGTGTGGTCCTGGGGGTATATATACTGTGTGGTCCTGGGGGTATATATACTGTGTGGTCCTGGGGGTATATATACTGTGTGGTCCTGGGGGTATATATACTGTGTGGTCCTGGTGGTATATACACTGTTATACTGTGTGGTCCTGGTGGTATATACACTGTTATACTGTGTGGTCCTGGGGGTATATATACTGTTTGGTCCTGAAGGAATATACACTGTTATACTGTGTGGTCCTGGGGGTATATATAGACTGTTATACTGTGTGGTCCTGGTGGTATATATACTGTGTGGTCCTGGTGGTATATACACTGTTATACTGTGTGGTCCTGGGGGTATATATACTGTGTGGTCCTGGGGGTATATATAGACTGTTATACTGTGTGGTCCTGGTGGTATATATACTGTGTGGTCCTGGTGGTATATATACTGTGTGGTCCTGGTGGTATATATACACTGTTATACTGTGTGGTCCTGGTGGTATATATACTGTGTGGTCCTGGTGGTATATACACTGTTATACTGTGTGGTCCTGGGGGTATATATACTGTGTGGTCCTGGTGGTATATATACTGTGTGGTCCTGGTGGTATATACACTGTGTGGTCCTGGTGGTATATACACTGTTATACTGTGTGGTCCTGGTGGTATATATACTGTGTGGTCCTGGTGGTATATATACTGTGTGGTCCTGGTGGTATATATAGAATGTTATACTGTGTGGTCCTGGTGGTATATATACTGTGTGGTCCTGGTGGTATATATACTGTGTGGTCCTGGTGGTATATATAGACTGTTATACTGTGTGGTCCTGGTGGTATATATACTGTGTGGTCCTGGGGGTATATATACTGTGTGGTCCTGGTGGTATATATGTTATACTGTGTGGTCCTGGTGGTATATATACTGTGTGGTCCTGGGGGTATATATACTGTGTGGTCCTGGGGGTATATATACTGTGTGGTCCTGGTGGTATATATACTGTATATATACTGTGTGGTCCTGGGGGTATATATACTGTGTGGTCCTGGTGGTATATATACTGTGTGGTCCTGGTGGTATATACACTGTTATACTGTGTGGTCCTGGTGGTATATATACTGTGTGGTCCTGGGGGTATATATACTGTGTGGTCCTGGGGGTATATATACTGTTATACTGTGTGGTCCTGGGGGTATATATAGACTGTTATACTGTGTGGTCCTGGTGGTATATATACTGTGTGGTCCTGGTGGTATATACACTGTTATACTGTGTGGTCCTGGGGGTATATATACTGTGTGGTCCTGGGGGTATATATAGACTGTTATACTGTGTGGTCCTGGTGGTATATATACTGTGTGGTCCTGGTGGTATATATACTGTGTGGTCCTGGTGGTATATATACACTGTTATACTGTGTGGTCCTGGTGGTATATATACTGTGTGGTCCTGGTGGTATATACACTGTTATACTGTGTGGTCCTGGGGGTATATATACTGTGTGGTCCTGGTGGTATATATACTGTGTGGTCCTGGTGGTATATACACTGTTATACTGTGTGGTCCTGGTGTTATATATACTGTGTGGTCCTGGTGGTATATATAGACTGTTATACTGTGTGGTCCTGGTGGTATATATACTGTGTGGTCCTGGGGGTATATA